CTACTGTAAGCTAAATAAATGCCAAAGAAAGCTCCATGCATTTTATATCTTTTGTAGTGTTTGGTAATTGAAAATTATTGCTCCATAACAATTCTTAGTTCAAAAATACACCAGTATAGACTAGGGTTTTTAAGTCAAAAAGAGAATCAGGAATCAAACTTTGATACTGAAGAAGTTTTAAGAATTTCGTAATCAAATTACTTATTACGTATTTTCCTCGTGCTTTTTCTTAAATTTGTGTCTTATCTTTCGTGTTTTCTATAAGTAGCAGATATGATAAAAACAACAAAGGGAAAAAAAAACAATAAAGGGGGTGCCTGGGTGGCTCAGTGGGTTAAAGCCTCTGCCTTTGGCTCAGGTCAAGATTCCAGGGTCCTGGGATCGAGCCCCGAATCAGGCTCTCTGCTAGGCAGGGAGCCTGCCTCTCTGCCTACTTGTGATCTCTGTCTGTCAAATAAATAAATAAAAACTTAAAAAAAAAAAAACAATAAAGACCATCCAGTTTTAAAAAAGGACTAGGTAAAAGGTAAAATTCATGTCCTAGTGTTGGTCCTCTGACTATAAGAAAGAATAAGAACTTTATTTCATGAATAGAAATTTCTCTATTATGCAATATACTTTTTTTTTTTTTAAGAGAGTGAGGGGAGAGGCAGAATGAGAGGGAGAAAAATCTTAAGCAGACTCCATGCTGAGGGCAGAACCCAGTGTGGGGCTTGATCCCACCACCCTGAGATCATGACCTGAGCCAAAATCAAGTCAGATGCTTAACAGACTGAGCCACCCAGGCACCCCTGAAATATACTTTTCATATGCTGTGCCTGTAAGCATTGTTTTCCATAATCTGATGAATAGGGTCGAGCAGAGAAATAGTTACAGCGATTCCAACTAAGGATATACAAGCACTTACTTAAAATAATGGGAGTAGATAGGCAAGTCAGCCATCTCTTATATGGGTTGGTTTGTGGCGCCCAAAAGATGCTGAACTCCTAATCTCTAATACCTATGGGTGTGGCTTTATTTGGAAATACAGTCTTTGCAAATGTACACTTGTTCAGATGAGGTCATTAGGGTGTGTCCTTATAAAAATCAAAACCACATTGAGATACCACCTTACATGAGTTAGAATGGCAAAAATTGACAAAGCAAGAAACAACAAATGTTGGAGAGGTTGTGGAGAAAGGGGAACCCTCTTACACTGTTGGTGGGAATGCAAGTTGGTGCAGCCACTTTAGAAAGCAGTATGGAGTTTCCTCAAAAAGTTCAAAATAGAGCTACCCTATGGCCCAGCAATTGCACTACTGGGTATTTACCTTAAAGATGCAGATGTGGTGAAAAGAAGGGCCATATGTACCCCAATGTTCATAGCAGCAATGTCCAGGATAGCCAAACTGTGCCTGGGTGGCTCAGTTGGTTAAGCGACTGCCTTCAACTTAGGTCATGATCTCGGAGTCCCAGGATCAAGTCCCTCATCAGGCTCCCAGCTCCATGACCTCAGCTCTCATGCTCTCTCTCACTCTCTCAAATGAATAAATAAAATCTTTAAAAATAAACAACTAAACGTGGGGCGCCTGGGTGGCTCAGTGGGTTAAAGCCTCTGCTTTCGGCTCAGATCATGATCTCAGGGTCCTGGGATCGAGCCCCGTATTGGGCTCTCTGCTGGGCAGGGAGCCTGCTTCCCTCTCTCTCTCTGCCTCTCTGCCAACTTGTGATCTCTCTCTCTCTCTGTCAAATAAGTAAATAAAATCTTTTAAAAAATAAATAAATAAATGAATAAATAAATAAAAGTGCAGAGAGAAGTAACAGACTGAAGTAAGTATCTGCCATACTGTATATTAATGGGCTTGTACCCAGATTATATATATATTCTTACCACTCAGTATCAAGATTAACAACCCAATTTAAAAATGGGCAGAGTTGGGGTGCCTGGATGGCTTAGTCAGTTAAGTGTCCAACTCTTGATCTCAGCTCAGATCTTGATCTCAGGGTCATGAGTTCAAGCCCCACACTGGGCGCTATACTGGGCCTGGAGCCTACTTTAAAAAAAAAAAAAAAGACAAAATCTTTCATCAGATACTTCATTAGGAATATATACATCTATCCAGTAGTACATGAGAAGATGTTTGACAGCATTAGCTGTCAGCAAAGTGCACAGTAAAGCCACACTGACCAAATAAATAATGAAGCCAGAAACAGATCTGTACGCTTATGGAAGTTTGCTTCATGACAGAAATGGTACGTCATGTCAGTAGGGGAAAAGATGTTCTGTGTTGCATAAATTAATATCCTGTTGGATTAATCTTTATGCCCAGGCCTGTCCTCTGCCCCAGCTGAGGAGTGCAGAAGAGGAAACCATCATCTAGTCCTGGAGTGGCTCTCAGCAGAGGTGAGAATGCATGTTCCACTGGAAACTGTTCATGGTCAGTGGGTCTAACTTGACCATCATTCCCCTGGGCAGCTGTGGGGCCTGTAGGTAGAGAAGAACAGAGAGAGGTCAGGGGAGGGAGGAAGAGGAAGATTATTTCTCTTGGCCTCCAAACACCCTGCTCCCCATTGTCTGTATCTAGGGATAGGGAGAAAGTACAATAGTACTTGCTTTTTCTCTTTTTCCACACTTATTGCAGGGTTTAACTGGTATTTAACGGGGAAGGAAAATAGATGGTTAATGTTCCCATAGTCAAGAGGACAGGCACACCTGACAAAGAAATAGCCCACCACCACTGGTCCTCCGACTGAGAAATGGGAAATCTCCTTGATATAGGTTGGTGCTTTAAGAACCCTGAGCCCACGAAAAAGGTAAGTACTCACATGTTTTATGTGGATCCTCATGGAGGCTCCTGGCTGTGCCAGCCTTCCGCCACCAAAATTCCAGTGATAATCAGATACATGGCAGTGAGACCCAGTGTGATGAGGTTAACCTTGGTGTAATCCCCCAGTGCTGTGCCTGGGGAAACTGAGAGAGAGAATGAGGTCATTACTGGTATCCCATCTGCTCAAATGAGTTTACCAAATGTGACTGTCACCCGCCCACTTGTGTCTCCTGGCCAGCAGTCACCTACCTGTACCTGCACTGAAGTTTTATTCACTGAAAATACAATACAGGCTTTCAAGAGGGCGGTAGTGGTCCTCCTTTTGTCTTTTTTCCTTTATATTCTCTCCTTCATTTATTTGCTTTTTATCTCATTTCCACCCGTCCACATTTCCTTTCCTCCTCCACAGATTAGGAATTAGTCTTAGGAGCACACAAAAGACTTAGAGCACTTTCATTGGTTTCTGAGGGCTGCCGTAACAGTGTCACAAACTGGGAGGCTTAAAATAACAGAAATGTATTATCTCACAGTCTGAAGACAGGGTATTGACAGGGTAACACTTTCTCCAAAGATTCTAGGGAAAGATCCTTCTCATCCTTCTCTCTCTGCATCTTGTGGCTTCTGGAAGCACCAGGCATTGTGGCTTGTGATGGCATCACTCCAGTCTCTGCCTCGGTTTTCATGTGGCCGTCTTTCTTCTGTGTGTCTCTGTGTCTTTATTCTTCATCTTTTATGGACAGCAGTCCTATTGGGTAAGAGACTTCCCTAATCCAGTATGACTTAATGTGAACTTAACAAATGACTATCTACAAAGACAAAGTAATGCTATTTCCAAGTAAGATCACATTCACATGTAGCAGGATTAGGAGGACTCAAACATACCTTTGGGGGGGACAAAAAATCAACCCATTATAGCACCCACAGTGCTGAAATCTAGTAGCCAACCCAGTATCCTCCTCAGAGCACAAAACTTAATTTCACACAGGGATTGAGCACAGGAATTTTCGAATTCAGGGTCACGGTGCATTTCAGCTGCACCCAAGAAGAGCCTGAGATTGGCAGTGGCTCTGGTTCCTCATGAGGAGCCTGTGTATGTGTCATCCCTCAGCAGAGCTGGGCACAGCTACTACATGTAAACAGGGAATGTCTTACCTCCTGCATCCCAGTTATGACCAGTCCATCTCTAAATTCAGCAGTAACAATACTCTCTGAGGCAAGGCCCATGGAGAGAAATGGTAATGATGCCACCATATTTAGAAAGCACCCTCCACCTCTTATTACTGACCATACAGACCTTTAATTATAAAACATACACTGACTATGGGAAGAATCAGTAAGACAGAAAGTTATAAACCAAGAAATTAGTGTGTAGCTTCCAAGGAAGCAGAATTATAGTAGGACACAAAAGATAATTTTATTTTTAAAGATTTTATTTATATATTTGAGAGGGAGAGAGCAAGAGAGCATGAGTTAGAGAAGAAGGCTCCTTGCTGAGCGGAGAGCCTGATGTGGGGCTCAGTCCCAGAGCCCTGGGATCACGACCTGAGCCAAAGACAGTTGCTTAATGACTGAGCTACCCAGCACCCGGAAACAAAAGGCAATTTTAGAAGGCAACTAGTAGTATGGGCCAGGAGACACAAGTATATACTGCATCCACGACACAAAAGCAGTCTGCTGGGGAAACACCACGTTTGGAGAACAAGACAAAGTAATAGAGAATGAAATCACTAATACCAAGGTAAACCAAAATCTTAAGAGCCGCAGACAATAGTAGAAGGAATTCTGCTAGTGACTCGCTTAATAATTTTAAAGAATAATGTAAGAAATCATCCAAGAATGCAAGATAGAAAAGGCAAAGAAACGGAAATTACAAAAGATTTAAAAAGAACATAACGGACGTGACGGAGAAAAGAGAATCAGAGACTAACAGAACACTCTCTGATTAAAAAAAAAAAAAAATCTGGCGCTTGGGTGGCTTAGTCCCTTAAGCCTCTACCTTTGACTCAGGTCACGATCCTAGGATCCTAGGATCAAACCCCACGTCAGGCTCTCAGCTCAGCAAGGAGCCTTCTTCTCCCTGTGCCGCTGCCTGCTGCTCCCCCTGCTTGTGCGCTCCCTCTCTATCTATCAGATAAATAAAAATCTTTTGAAAAGTAAATCTTTCTTAACATCACATAAAACCTTGCCCTTTACCAAGATTTCAAGGTGGTTACTGGGGTCTGAGGCCAAGAAAGGAGCCTTTGGTAGTAGACGCAGCTGTAGTTTCCAGTGTCATTGACTGTCACGTTCCTTAAGGGAGAAGTCTCCTTTGTCCTTCAGGTTGCTGGTGCTATCCACGCTTTCTGGTACTTGTTTTCAGGAGAACAAACGTTACATCTTCGAGCATATTGTCTGGCCAATGACACTGCACAGTCACGTTTCTTCCCGGGGTGTCCTTATGCCTCTGAAAGGCCTGGAGAGAAGGTTTGCGCAAACTTCCTGTAAGGAAAGGTTACTTCCTGTAAGGAAAGGTTACTTCCAGTGGTGGAAGACTGCTTCCGGTAATAGAAGGTCACTTCCGGTAACGGTGTTAGAGGTATCCTCGTTTCTCTCCTTCCCTTGGCCTTCTGGGACGGAGCTCTCACTTGGGAGAAAAGATGGCTGACCCCTGATTACTCCCACCTAGGCGTGGATTCAAGCCAACTCCAGATTATTCTGTTTTTCTGTCCGGGGCAAGGAGGTTGAGCGCTCCTTATCTCCCAGTCTTCTGTTAGTTCTGCCTCGCTCCGTGCTCGGTGTCAAGGAAGACTGTGTTTGAGGGCAGGAGTCATCCTAATGCACCCCCTCCTCACCTGTAGCCAACAGTACAGAGGTACGGCTGGAGAGCGTCCGAAAGGGGCCTTTTCCGTGGAATCTTCGCAGGTGACTCCCTGGCATCACTGTGACTCAGGTTAAAGAGGTAGATTTTAGCTGTAGATCCCTGTAGAACTGGGTAGCTACATGGGATCCAAGAGCGGCTTTCCTTTCTGAAAAGAAATTTTACCTTCCTGGTGAGAGCTGAGCACTCGGGAATCACGTTGCCCTTGGGAGATACCACCCACCTGGGGAAGACACGGAGAAGGCTTGGGAAGCGACCCTGGGAAGGAGTAGAGTGCAAGTCAGATTATGCACACACCTTACTTTCCCCTTAAAGAAGGAGAAGGGAAGGATGGGGAATTTTGGATGAAAAAACAAGTAGCATCTAAATAAGAAGAAACACTCACCATCTGTTGTGTCGCTTTGGCCAGGACAAAGCCCTGTAAAGGAATCACCCATGGGATATAAGCTGTTATTGAGGGAGAAGATTCCTGGTCACTTTATGCCAGATGGCCTTGGGAAATGGCAGGAGGTGGCTAGAGTCAGACCCCGTCACCAGTCTTCCCCATGGTTACTGCCTCCTCTCTCAGGTGCAGCAATTTAGAACATGCAACGCAGGCTGTAGAATAAGTGGCTAGATTAGATGCAGTTTGGGGTAGAGGAGGGTGATACTATCATTGTGGAGTATCCGTGCGGGGAGGATACTTTGGCCTGAGTGCTAAAATTGCCTGGAAATTGACATCATGCCTGTACCTGAATATTCTTGTAGTAAGGATATTACGTTAACAAGGAGGCATAGGGGGTTAGTTATCCCTGTGATTCCAAGAACAGAAATTTCCTTTCTTTCTCCTGTATGGAGGAACAGTTTGATGTTTCAGGGGGAAAGTGAGAAGTTATTAGGACTGTTAGGTGCAAACACATGCATACCTCATGCAAATTTAATCTGTAGTCTGAGAAAATGGAAGGTAGTGGACATGTGCTGAGGTATGTGAAGAAATGTTATTGCAAAGTCAGAGGAACCAGGAAATGGAAAAAGGACAACTACAGAGACAGCAGAGGCGTGTGGACCCGAATCCACTCGGAAGCTGCACATGGGAAGCAGCATTGACCCGCACCTCTGGACGGAGCCTGGGCCCTGTGCATCAAAGCCCTGGGGGCCTGAACCTTTGTCCTTCCTGCCCAGTCCCTGCAGAATGGGTGGAACTCCCAGGACAGACCCTTCCCCACTGAGCAGGATATGTGCCCCTTCCGATGCTGCTGAAAGTAGGTAGATGGTAGGCCTACATCAGACAACCTCCTGCAAGTGCACAGACCAAAGTGAGCAGAGTAGCGATGAAGTAGGATTACCTGTGGGAGCGAGTGTGGTATTTTAGAGTCAAAGAATTTGAAGGTACTTTAAGTTGTTCATAGTTGTTGGAAAAATCAGAGCAAAGGGAGGAATTCGGGGGTGAGAACCCAGCTTAACCCGTAAATTAAACTTAGTTAAGAAAAACATCATCATAAAGCATCATGAAGTAATCTTAAGTGAATTCCTACCAGAATTCAGTGCCCTCAATGTGCCATCTCCCAGCTAAGGACCATTCAGGGTTCTGAAACCTCCAGACCTCTTCAGTCCCTGCCTGCTCAACACCTGCCTTCACGCACCCCTGCAGACACTGCTGAGGGGGCCCCGGGACCCTGCACCGCCTCCCGAGTTGGGTGTCCCTCGGAGGCTTGAGGGCTTCAGCCAGCGTGGCTGGAAGAACATGTTGGTTGGACACGCTCTGGACCTCCTGGCTTCTTGTCTGACTGGCGTCTCGTGTCAGCTCTGCACGTCACCTACACAGTGATGAGAGGAGACGCTCTCAGAAGTCTTACCTCACCAGGGGCGGGTGCCTGGAGCCGGATGACAGGGCACACGTTCTGTCGAGGACAGAGGAGGGCAAAGGGACGTGCTTGCTTCACTCACCGATGATGGACAGTTCTCCGTGGGGGATTTCCAGCAGAAATAGCGCCTGAGCCAGGGAGGGGGGTGGCAGAAGGATTCCTTCCGCCATGGGAGTAACAGTAATCTTCTGTGCGTGCACAGCCTCTACTCACTGCGGTGGGCCTGCAGACGGTCGTCGTTGCCCTCACTGTGTGGATAAGGAAACCAAGCCCCAGCACCACGGGTGTATTTCAGAGACACTCAACCAGCGTGTGCAGGCATGGAGGCTCCCAAGACACACATCTGATTCCTCCTTTCCTGGAAATACAGAAGGCTTAACAACAGAATACTTTTCATTTTCCCAAGGTGGGGTTCTGAAGTAAAGAGCCGTATAGACTATCCTAGAGTCTAGGGTTCAGAGAAATGTGGTAAGAACTCAGGTCTATAGTCATGGTGCCCAAATACGAGCCAAGAACCACATGCTATCCTTGTCTGAGGAAATGAGGGGTTTTGGCACCTGCGAACAGACATCCTGAGCTGTACCCTGTTCCACACCCAGGAATTTTTTTTTTTAATTTTATTTATTCATTTGACAGAGATCACAAGTAGGCAGAGAGGCAGGCAGCGAGAGAGGGGGACGCAGGCTCCCTGCTGAGCAGAGAGCCCAATGCGGGGTAGATCCCCAGGACCCTGAGATCATGACCTGAGCCGAAGGCAGAGGCTTTAACCCACTGAGCCATCCAGGCGCCCCACACCCAGGAAATTTTAAAACAACTTAATCGAGATGTAATTCACATGCCATATAGTTTGCCTATTTACTTCGCCGTTCATGGGCTTTCCTACATTCACAGATATGTGCAAACTTCACACGGTCAAATTTAACACACTTTCATGGCTTCAAAATGATACCCCGTTACTTTTCAACTTCTGTTGTATTTCTTCCCCCCAGCATCTGCAGCCCTAAACAACCAGTAACCTGCTTTCTCTGTGGGTTTCCCTATTCTGGACTTTCATATGAATGGAATCGTGTAGCATGTGGCCTTTTGTGACAGGTCTTTCACCTGCCATGATGAGCTAATCCTCTTTTATGTCTCTAGAATTTCCCCTTGTCAGCATCTGTTCGGTCACTCCAAGGGCATTTCTGTTTTGAAGACACCATACTTGTATCCATCTTAATTTCCTGTTATAAGCTGGTGGAAGCAGTCATGACGTTAGAGGCAGGCAGGCTGGGCTTGCGTTTTGCCTGTTTTGCTCATTTTCTGTGTGGCCCTGAGCAGGAACCCTCAGCTGTCGGTCTCAGGGTCCTTCTTTGACCCCTGGGCCTAATTCCCACCACGCAGGACTGTTTGCAAGGGTCAGATTGGTGTTTCCCTCGGGGTGGCATATGAACCACAGGTGCCCAAGGACGTGATTTTAGGCCACATGGTGGCACAGTGCCCTATAGCTTTGGTCACAGCATCGGAAAGTTACTACCCTTTCAGTCAAGCCCTTCTGATCCCATCAAGGGGAGAAGTTCCATTTATGATGGACTTAGAACAACTTTCTCTCTGGCTTATCACCCTTTATAGCTAGGAAGTGGTCAGCCATGGGGTCAGAAGCATAACAACCACAAAAGGCTAAAATGTCCTAACATTTTCTGTTTTTCCATAGTATTCTATGTTTATGTTAATTCCCTGCATTAACATAGGTGGTGACCCTGCATTATTCAACTATTGCTAAGTAGTTTCTATTTTCAAATAAATACCTTTATTTAAAGAAAAAATGTTGACTCACTGTCAGTCAATCATTAAGTAAGTGAAGGTGATCTAGGCACGGCATACGTCACGAATGTGGAATGTACATATGTGAATGTTGGAGAAAACTCGAGCGTGGGTCCTGACGTGTATGAGGCAGTCCGTAAACACAAGCCGGCATTGTTTCTTTTGCATCCTTCATGTCTCTCAGTGTGTCAGTCCACCCTCCTCTGGAACCCCACCCTCAACTTGAACCCTCATCTTAAGGAACTTACCAAAGTTCCTACTAATCACCACAATCATGGCCCTGTTCCTGCAGCTTGCTGTAAGCACCCTTCTTCAGCTTTGCGGTCACCCGGTGGAGGGAAGCTTGGTGTGGGCGGTGACCTCTTTCCTCCAGCTTTTTCCTTCCTTCCTCTTATGTGACCCACACGTTTTTGTGTCACGCCCACATTGAGGAAATGAAAACCAAGTAGTAGGATGTAGAACATTCTGAAAATGACAAAATTTTAAAGGTAGGGAACAAGCCCGTGGTCACAGTGGTGTTGGGGGGAGAGGTTGGGTGTGATAGTAAGGCACACCGTGAGGGACATCGTCATGGTGAGAGACTGTGCCCGTATGTTGATTATGCCAGTGGCCAGACGAATCTAAACTTGATAGAATGACCTAGAACCCTACACACTGTCCTAGGGTCAACTCTTTGGTTTTCATATTGTGGTGGACATACAACGGTGCCATCGGAGAAACTGGGTCCAGGGTGCCAGTATCTGCATTGAGTTTGCAACTTCCCGGAAATTGAACGGTTTCAAAGTAAAAGTAGGATCTGACGGAAGAGGAGACACAATCCGAAGGAGCCATGGGCAGTCACGTGAGGGAATGGGCACATCACGAACCATGAGTGGCCACGGTGTCCAGAGACTGCGGCAAGACCCGGCTATAGACCGAGCAGCTGGCATCCGGTGTGCCGGCCTGTGCCGGCTGTAAAGCCAGAGTTCTGTCCATTTCGACCACTCGTGGCCAATAGCAATGCAAGGAGGAACCCGGGAGGAACCCTGAGTTTTACTACTCGTTGGGTGGAAGGGGGAGAAATACTGAACAGCTGCCTGGACCTCCCTGAGTGTCCACCCTGAGAAAGCCTGCCGCGAGATGCACAGCCCAGGAGGAGCTCCTGCCTGCCTCCAGCACCCCGAAGGAGGCTCAGCCACGATCTGCGGAAAGACGGCGAAACGAAAGGAAGAAGACGCACTGAAGAATTACATCCACAAGAACGGTTTCTACTCTGATCAGAGCTGGGTTTTTATGAGCGTCTCTCTCAGGTTGTAAGGGAGGCGATACCAGCTCTAAAATAAGAAGGGGTATTTGTGGGGCACCTGGGTGGCTCAGTGGGTTAAGGCCTCTGCCTTGGGCTCAGGTCATGATCCCAGGGTCCTGGGATGGAGCCCCGCATCGGGCTCTCTGCTCAGCAGGAAGCCTGCTTCCCCCTCTCTCTCTGCCTGCCTCTCTGCCTACTTGTGATCTCTGTCTGTCAAATAAATAAATAAAATCTTAAGGAAAAAAAAGGGTATTTGTGAAAAAGAACAAGATTATTGACAAACAACAGATCTTGAACATGAAAATACTATGGAACATTTTACAGCTGCACCAGGAAATGAGACATGCGGGCGCACCTCGGGGGCAGCTCGGTGCCACGAAACTGAGAGGAAGTCTCCCAAATGAGGTGGAATGTTGGGACTCTGGGAAATCAAAGTCGAAAGACACGTGCGATGAGTACGGAAGTTTTAATACCCGACTCATTGGTCCAGAAGCATGAAATAGAGAATGGAGAGGAGTCAGTAATGGATACGTGGGAAGCAGTGTTTTTCCCACTTCTCAGTGGAATGACAGTTCCTACAGAAGTGACGACACAGGTTACCCAGCCTGACTCTGAAGCTTTAAGCATTTTTTCAGGTCCTCCAAGTTTATGAGGTGCGTCTTTAGGCTCCAGCCTGTCCTCTGCCCCAGGCGAAGCTGCAGCGGGAGGGAAGGTGAGTCTCGTCCGCGAGTGGTTCTCCATAGAGCAAAGAGTGCAGGTTCCGTGGGACTCAAAATCCACAGGGCTCCCCGCCAGTGCTCATCCTTCCTGGGCAGCCAGGGGCATGTGGGCAGTACAGACCTGAGGCCAGGAGAGGGAGGAAGAGGAAGGGTATTATTTCCCTGGCCTCCTCCTGCAGGCTGTCCACCAGGGGAACACCACCCCACTCCCGTCCTCCACATCTAGGGGTGTTGGGAAAAGCACGATAGAACTTGCTTGCTATCTTCTTCCACAATGGCTGGGGCTTCAACTGCTCTTTAATGGGAATGAGAAGTGGTGCTAAGTGTTCCCACAACAAACAGGACAGTCCCCTGTGATGAAGAACTATCCCATCCAAAAGGCCGTCTGTGTCTATGTTGAGAACCACAAGAAGTCCCATGGTGGAGTCTGGTGCTGAGAGAGCCCGTGTCGCGACACCAGCCCAAAGAAGAGACGCGCTCAGCTGTTTTATGTGGATCCACGTGGAGACTCCTTCTGGCCGCACCAGGCTTCCGCCACGAGAGCCCCCATAATCACCACAATCACGGCAGCCAGACCCAGTCGGATGAGGTTGCCCGAGGTGTAATCCCGGGACGCTGCCCCTGGGGGAGCTGGGAGAGAGGAGAGGATGAGCAGCAGCTGGAAAGGAGCATCCCTCCTTCCCACGCGGACCTGCCCGGTGTGACTGTCCTGCACCCGCTGGTGCTTCCTGGTCAGTGCTCAGCTCTACCTGCCCTGAGGCTGTCGTCACTCAACACAACATGGGGTTTCCCGGAGAGCTGTAGTGGCCCTTCCCTGGTCTCCTTCCCAGTCCCTCTGCCTTACCGCTCCCCCTTCCTGTCCTTGCTCGCCATCTCCTTTCCACCCTCCTGCACTGCCCTTTCCCCTTCTCCCTCCTCGTAGTAGGAACCAGGCTTAGCAGCAACCCCAAAACCCACCGTTGCTGCACAGAGAACGGAAGTCGTTCAGGGGCTGCGTCTGCTCCCCTCCTCATAGCAAGACTTATTCTGTGCAGCCAGTGAGCCCAAGAAAATTCCAGCTTAGTAGCTGGGCGTCGGGACCACCGTGCGTTTCATTTCAGCTTCCCCCAAGAAGAGCTTGGGCTCGCCATTGGCCCTGGTTCCCAGAGGGAACCGGCATCTGACTCCTCCAGCTCACACACGCCAGGAGCGCAGAGTTCGCGTCTGAACCCATCAGCAGCAACGCTCCCCGGAGACAGAGTCCGTGGGGAGAGGCCCGTGAGGACACCGCCAGGCCCAGGATGCCCTCTGCACCTCTCGGCACTGCCCGCCCTCAGCTTGCGTCCTAACTACAGAAGGTTCGCTGACCACAGTGCACACGCAAACATGCACAAGGCCGAGGACGCGGGCGCAGCCTCCCACGAAGCAGCAAGTTTAGAAGATACCGCAGCTGTGTCACGACAGCAGGCGGCCGGGGAGCAGCGTGTTCCAAGACTGAGAAAGGTAATGCCATGAAGTTGCCGTCAGCAGGATGGACCACAGGTCTTGGGGACGCCCGGGGTGGCAGAAGGGGCTCTAGAGGGGGTGGGATGTGTCGTTTGGAAGAACAAGCTGAGAAAGTCTCCAAGAAGGCCAAGCAACAAAGGCCAAAGACTAGAAAGTAGGAAAGGAGAGATTTAAAAAGGAGATGATCAGGAAGGCGAAGGAGAAACAGGAATCCGAAAGTAACAGAAGAAATGCTCTCCGGTTAAAAAAAAATGTTGCACACCTTAAACTAACACAGTGTTATAAGTCAGTTATAGGTCAAGAAAACTCAAGAAAACCAATAAGATAGTCAAAATAAGAACAAACTAATTAGGAAATTAATTAAAATTTTAAAATGCCCTAAGAAAATCATACAAAACCTCACCTGTCACCCGGATCTCCAGATGATCGCTGGGCTTGGAGGCCCAGAAAGGAGTGGTGGTCTGGAAGTACACACAACTGTAGTTCCCGGTGTCACCAGCTGTCGCATTCTGGAGGGAGAAGTCTGTCTCCTTCTCTACTGGACCCTCGAGCTGAACGGGCCCTGCTGCTCCTGCCTTCAGTAGAGCAAACATTATAGTCTCGTAAACATTGGCTGCCGTCTGGCACCTCAGGGTCACGGTGTCTCCTGCGGTCACCTCACCCCTTTGGTGGGCTTGCAGGGAAGGTTTAGGAAAATTTCCTGGAAGAGAAGGAGGGCTCCAAGGTCATGGGGAGAAGCCCGGCGTCCTCCACCCACCCTTGTTCTCCTAACAGGGGTTCCTGCCACGTCGGGGAAGTGACAGATCCCTGATCTCACCCTCTTTCCACTCTGACAGCGGGAAGGCAATTTCCCTTTCAAGCCCTGGCTCTTTCTGTTCTGTGTCTCTCCGTCTCCCCTGCCCCCTCCCTCCCTCTGTTCCTCCCCCACACCTGTCCCTGCAAGACCCTGTGTCCCTCCGAGGCACCCTCCTCACCTGTCACCAGTAGCAGGAGGACGTCACTGGGCTGTGAACGTGTGCGTGGGGGCCCCCGTCTGTAGTACTCACAGGTGTACTCTCCAGCATTGCTGAATTGTAGGTCAGTGAGGTGAAATTCAGCCGGCCCATCTGTGGAAATCCATGATTGCACAGACTCCAAAGGAACTTTTCCCTTTCTGAGAACAAAGTTGACATTCTTGGTAGAAGTCTGGCATTGCAGCGTCACATTACTCCAGCGAGGCATCACCGAGCTGGGCCAGGCCCTGAGGGAGGGCTTGGGAAGGGACTCTGGAAGGAAGCAGAGATCAGGATGGGGTTTGGTGCCCTTGTCTGCTCCCAGAAAACCCCTTGAAGGAAAGAGAAGTGATATGGGGAGTTTGGAGTGAAGGAGAAGGAGGGTCTGTCTGAGGGATCTCACCATTGGTCCCCCTGCTTCCTTGGCCAGCACACAGCCCTGCAAGAGAACCATCCATGAGACATGAGCACCCGCCCGGAGCCCGTCCCGCGGGGCCTCCCGGGGGCTGCCACTGAGAAGGGACCCTGGAGGTCAGGCCTCTGGGGCTTCTCATTTCCCCACAGTGGCCTGTGGCTCCAGCTCTGCTCTCGGCTCCTTCCTCGCTTCTCCCAGAAGGTCTCCTGTGCAGCTCGCTCCTCCCACGGCCCCAGGACCTGTCCTGGTTCCCCGGATGTCCACAAACCCCTCTGTTCGCAGCTACCGTCCTGAGCCACTCTCCGTCTTGCGTTTCTCTCGAGCTGGTGTTCCAGTCTGTGGACTCCCCGCACCTCACCCTTTGGGGGTAGAAGGCAGAAACCGTGGGAAAGATGTGGGAGCACAGGACTGGAGTGGGAGCCTAGCCCACCTCTGAAATTGTTGGAGACCCTGCGTGGCACCGAGGGTCTGCCGACGGTCTCACGTGCGCCGGGAGCAGCCCCTGCCGAAGGCTGGCGGGTGCTGCGATGACAGTTTACAACTAAGCTCATAGAAGCTGTGCACCTCGCACCTCGGGAGCCACAGGATGTCACTGCCTGTGAGCAGCTGGCCTGCGGAGCCTGTGTTCTTCCCCTCAGTGTGCCCAGCATCTGTGCAGGTCTCGGCACACGGTAGGACCTCAGCAAACGCACGCTGACGGGCTGATGAGATGCGTGCGTAAACACAGCTTCTCCGAGGATGTGACGAGAAGCAGCGTCTCCCTACCTTCCCCATCCTCCTCCCGCCAGGCCAGCTCCATTTCCAGACCTCACCAGGTCACCCATGTCCACGTGGGAGTCAGGGCTGGCTCAGAGACGGAGGGAGCTCTGTCTCTGGACAAGGCCAGTTAAGTCAGCCTCAGCCTTTAATCTAGTGAGTTTCTGATCCCATCTTTGCCATGATCTCTTTCCATCTTTTGGTACTCCAAGTAGGACAGAGGTTACTGCTTTGTCCTCTCAGACAAGCCTCAGAGAATCCCCGTGGATATCCCAGAACGAGGAGAACCTGCCTCCTCTGCTGTCCCACGCTTGGGTCCGTCTGTAGGGTACCCCACCCCCGTGGTTCCTGGCCTTGGCTGCACATTGTGCTCCCCTGGGGGGCGGGGGCACTTAGAGAGCCCAGGGCCCAGACCAAAGCATGAAAGCCTTGAATCCCAGTCACTTGGGATAGGGCTCAGGCACCAAACTTGTGAAGTTTCCAGGGAAATACAATTATTCCCCTGAGTGACCAAACCTAGAAAAACATTTCTCAAGGCTGCAGCACAGTTGTTCAAAATTCATTGTCCTAGAAAGAGACTTGCAAGCGATGGTGGGCATGAGCCTCTCTGACCCTCACAGGCACCACCAGTATTGCCCAATCGTGGTGGTTAGAATTTGGCCTGAGTTCTAAGATCTCGTTAAAGATAACATCAAACCTGTTTACGGAATTTACCGGAAGAGAGAGATTGCTCTCAGTCCACAGATACTTGGTTGGACCTATGTTTCTAAGAAATTTACCTTTTTTTGCCTGTGTGAAACAGTTTTGTGTCTTAGTTGTGAAAAGGGGGGGAAGTTACCTTTGTGTTAAAATTGCGTGGACCAATCAAAAATATTACTCTCCACGTTTTGAAAAAGCGATAACGAGCCAAAAGTTGAAGAGACCCAAGCATCCACCAGCGGACACCTGGACAGAGACCAGGTGTGTCTGTAGACAGGGGAGGACGATTCTGCCGTAAAGAGGAATGGAATTCTGATAGATGCCACAGCACCAGTGGGCTTGGAAAACATTATTCTGTGTGAAATCGGCCAAACACAGAAGGGCAAATACTGTATGATTCCACTTAGACGAAGTACCTAGAATAGGCAAATTCATGCAGACAGAACATAGAACAGAGGTTATCAGGGGCTGGGGAGAAAGAGAGGAAGAACGCTTTTCGATTAACGAGTGCAGAGTTTATGTTGGGGATGATGAAAAGGTTTCGGGTGAAGGCTGCACGTCACTGTGAATGCATTAAGTGCCACCGACCAGATACAGAGAGTTAAGAGGATAAATGTTATTTATGTGTAATGTGCTACAGTAAAATGGGGAGCATAATGGGTGTGTTTAGGGTATTGAAAACTCTCGCAGTCAGTGAATCCACAGAGAACGGAAACAGGAAAAAGGTGGGCAGAGCACGCGTCGGTGGACACCCGAATGTATTAGAGGTCCCCCGCCCTGTGCCTGGGAAGCAGCATGACCTGAACTCTGGGCCGAGCCTGTTCTCTGAGCACCAAAGCCCTGGGAGCCCAGATCTTCGTTCATCCTGCCATGCTTGGTCAAGAAGATGAGGAACCCGCGGCACAGAGCCTGTGCCCTCTCGACGGACCGCGCTGAGTGGGAAGTGGGAGTCCCTTCTCTCCGCACAGCAGGTGAGAGCCGTCTGTGAACAGCAGCCTCGTGTTGCGGCAGAGAGCAAGGGAAGGGCACGAGCTTGCGGACGACCCTGCAAAAGCCTGTAAGTTCTTAGGGACGCAGGACATCTCTGGGCTGTGTGAGATGCCCAGAGGAAGTGGGCATCTGAATATAAATTCCCGATGGCATGGACACTGCGGGGGGGATTGTGGTCAGGGCCGAGAAGTCCGTGTGGGCCCGCTCTTGGCTCATGGGGCATTCTGAGGCCTGTGGGAATTTGGAGTTAAAGCCGGCTCAGTGTGTTAAGTGTCTGCCTTCGGCTCAGGTCATGATCTCAGGGTCCTGGGATGGAGCCCCACATCAGGCTTTCTGCTCAGCGGGGAGCCTACTTCCTCCCTCTCTCTGCCTGCCTCTCTGCCTACTTGTGATCTCTCTCTGTCGAATAAATAAAATCTTTAAAAAAGAAAATTCAGAGTTTTTGCAAAACCTCCTCCATCAGCCCTCTCCTGCACTCGCCCAGACACTCAGGTCCCAACGCCTTTGAGGGAGGTGTTGTGAGGGATGTAGGAGGTGATGTAAGGAACGCTCTCTGGGGCAGCCTGACGTCCTGGGATCAGAGAACTTTGGTGGTAGGGAGGCAGTTTTATCACAAAGACCTGGTAACATCCCCCTTTTCACTTCCAAGGCACAAAACTGGTCCACATGGGGTAAAAAGGAATCTTTCAGAAACACGGGTCTAACCCCTTCCATGGCATGTGCTCTGGTAGCTCAAAGCGGGTTCAGGGCTTTGCAGAGCTGGGTCATTGGTGGTGGGACACACCCTCAGGTCACATGGGACTCATCATGGGCTCCCAGGCCCCAGCACAGCACAGCTCAGCCCAGCCTATCTCATCTCATCTCATCTCAGTCTTCAGCTCAGAAACCTCGTTGCTTAGGGGAGCAACAGGAAGTCCACTAGGAGAGACTCACTATTTCTCAAAGACAACATGAAAAAGAAAAGGTTAATCCTGGATGCCCGGGTGGTGTAGTGGGGTAAGCGTCTGCTTTCAGCTCAAGTCATGATCCCAGGGTCCTAGGATCGAGTCCCACATTAAGCTCCCCGCTGAGCAAGAAGCCTGCTTCTCCTTCTACCTCTGCTGCTCCCCTTGCTTGTGATTTCTCTGTCTCTCTGTCAAATAAATAAATAAAATCTTTGAAAAGAAAAAAAAAAGGAAAGATTAATCTCATTTTCGTGAGGAAGATCAGGAACCTTCAAAAGGTGGAAACAAGCCAGGGGACCACCAGCAAGTGGGCAGATCAAACGGGACCCATACATAAGCAGCATAGTCCTCAGCCACGAAAAGGAAAGAAAGTCTCATACGCGTGTCCAGGGAAGCTCTCCAGTCGGGCACGGGTGGAATCAGCGTCTCACTCAGCCAGAGGAGAATGAACGATGCAAGGAATGGTAGACATGAAAAGAGTGTCTTTCTGAGCAGGGACTGGTCGTGCATGCTTGAATCTGACTGTGAAAGTAATTCCAAAAGATGAGGGAAGTTGCATCGATGGGCATGTGTTCCCTGAGGCCCCACAAGGACTGTGTGCGGGAGCGGGGTCCTCAGAACTCGGTGGTGGTCGCCGTGTCCCTGCCTTCTCTCTGCACACAAGCAGCTGGGTCTTCCCAAGGCGAGCCTCTGGCGTCAGGGGCGCTCCGGGGAGGAGCCTGAGGTCTCAGGATCAGAGAACCGTGGCCAGAACAGGAAGCCGAGTGCAGAGGGCCACACGGAGGTGAGTCCTCGTCCCCTGACGTTTTGTGGCTATGACCTTTGTTTGTTTCTGGAAACCAGTTCATTCTGAGGTACAGTTCCAGCCCTGTAACTGGGGACATTCTGAACCACCCCTCTCTACATCCTCAGGCTTTTTCCAGCCTAGAGTCCTTCCAGACACGCCTCGAGTGCTCCATACCGTGGACCCCGTGCATGTGTCCCTCTTGGTTTAACGTCATGGCTGAGTGGAAACATTTTTGGAGCTCAGCAGCTCTGGGCTGAGATTTGGCTGCCCTTTGGCACAGGGGGCAAGTCTGCGCAGTCTGAGGCAAATCTCTTCAAGTGCGATTCCTCATTTGTAAAAGTGGACCTCGTTCTCTCTCGTAGGTGTTTGGGGTTTTTTGAGGGGGATGGGTCAGAGTGTTATTCCCCAAATGAGGAACACTTCCCATCCGTGTTTTGTGTGATGATTTTAGGTGGAAGGAAGGACAGTCAAAGCAGTACATGAGGCTCCCTGGGAGGCACAGTTAAGCTTCGCACTCTTGGTTTCGTCTCAGGTCGTGATCTCAGGGTGCTGGGATTGAGCCCCACACGGGTGCTCAGGGTGGAACTTGCTTGAGAGACTCTCTCTCTTCCCCCTGACCCTCCCCCAACTCTCGCACGCGCGCATGAGCACTCTCTTAAATAAATAAATCTTTTCTAAAAAGGCACTGGGGGGGCGCCTGGGTGGTTCAGTGGGTTAAGCCACTGCCTTCGGCTCAGGTCATGATCTCGGGGTCCTGGGATCGAGCCCCGCATCGGGCTCTCTGCTCACCAGGGAGCCTGCTTCCCCCCACCCCGCCTGCCTCTCTGCCTACTTGTGATCTCTCTCTCTGTCAGATAAATAAATAAAATCTTAAAAAAAAAACCAAAAGGCACTGCATGATCACATGCCGGAAGCACTCCTGTACAGCTTCGATTTGTCACCAAGAAAGTTTCCTTGAGGGACGCCTGGGTGGCTCAGTCGTTAAGCGTCTGCCTTCGGCTCAGGTCATGACCTCGGGGTCCTGGGATCTAGCCCTGAATTGGGCTCTCTGCTCAGCAGGAAGTCTGCTTCCCCCTCTCCCACTCTCTTTCCCTCTGTCTGATGTTTCCCTGCTCATGCGCTCGCTCGCGCTCTCTCTCTCTCTCTCTGTCATAAATAAATAAAATCTTAAAAATAAAAGAAAAAGCAAGATTCCTTGAATCTAGTCTCTGATCTATATGGATTGTGGCTAATTGCCTTTATATTAAGATACTGTTTATTTGTCCGAGAGCAAGCAAGCACAAGCGGGGGAGCAGCAGACAGAAGCAGAGGCAGACTCCTGGCTGAGCAAGCAGCCTGAGGCAGGACTCGATCCCATTACCCTGGGATCATGACCTGAGCTGAAAGCAGATGCTTAATCGATGAGCCTCCCAGGCACCCCGTGGCTAATTGCCCTTATAGCAAAGAACTAGCAGGTCTCAGTCTCGGAAGCTGACGAGGACCAGCGCGTGTAGTTATAATATCTTAACATTGTTTCCTTATTGTTGCGTTTACTTTATAATTCTTGTATTTGACCTGGATTTTTATTCATAGTATGGAGAGTTTGTATTGTAAGCACTTTGCTTTAAGCACAGAAGGCTGACTCTGTATGAAAAACAAAACCCATTAAGCCAATAAGAACAGGTAGCAAAGGCATTTGGCAGAAATCATGAACTTGGAACAAGAGTGAGATTTCTAAAGCCTCGGTTCAGAGGTGACAGACACATCACACTCCACGAGATTTCTGTTTCATAGTATTCGCTCGATAAACCCAAGTTGGTGTTACCTTTTCTCTTCCTATCCTCAGTCCAAACCTCTTACCAGTTCTGTTGTTTTCTATGGTCCCAACATGTTTCCCCGGGATACTTACTGAGACAGAGGACTGTCACTAGCTTAGAGATCATGGCAGCACGTCCCTGTCAGCCTCTCGATGCCTTGCTGGATTTGCCGTCCGCAGATGGGCGAGGAACTGGGCTGGCCACAGCCTTGCCCTGTGTCTAGAGCTGTGACTTTTCTGAATTTCACTTCCTCCTTCCACACTGTGTTCTGAAAACAGTGTTGGTCTTGCTGATTACAACATATTTCTTACACACTGAGCTCCATGGCGGTGGCTCACAGCAAGTCCTCCTCGGTCTCAGACATCAGGGGTCAAATGTGCGACTCCTACCAAGTGCCCGAGGCTTGAGTCTAGAGGGTTCCTCAGAGGACATGAAGGTACTCTGCTGTTGAGAAGATCGGAAAATCCTGGACAGACAGGTTGCTAGACATTGCCCACTTTTTTTTTTTTTTTTTTAGGATGTTATTGAGACAGAGCCATAGAGAGTGGGGGGGGAGGGGCAGAAGTGGAAGGAGAAGCAGGCTCCCCTCTGAGCAGGGAGCCTGATATGGGCTTCATCCCAGGAACCTGGGATCATGTCCTGAGCCGAAGGCAGATGCTTCCCCGTCTGAACCACCCAGGCGCCCCAACATTGCCCACTGTCTTAAGAGCTAAGGACTACAGTCAAATAGTTCCTTTTTCCTTTTTTTTTTTTTTTTAAGTGAACTTCCTGCCCATCACAAGTCTCGAACTCACAGCCCTGAGATCAGGAGTCGCATGCTCCACTGAGTGTGGCAGCCTGATGCCCCACCTGACAGTTCTTCCGCTGACTCTGCCAGTGAGGTTCAGTTGCTCAAGCAGGAGTGTGTGACCCAAACACCGAGTGTGGCTGGAGAAGAATACAGGAGAGCAGCTGCCTGGCATTGAAGTGGGAGTGTGTACCCCAGGCAGAAAGGATCTCTCTCCTTCCACACAACTTCCTAGTTGGACTTTCTCTCTTGAGGCAGGCATCACTAGCAAAGCCCCCAGAACCGGGAAACCCAGCATGGGTCCTTGGCTGGGGTTTCCTATTCCATGATGGGCATGATGTTAGTCCCAGCAGCAGAGCCCTCCGGAGGGTCTCACAGGAGCTGGTTTCAATCATCGTGCCAATGTTTACCAGTAAATTATGCTGAGAAGCTGGCACAGAGCCCTCCAGGACAGTTCGGATCTGGGGTTACAGAGCAACCCTACTAACCAGTGGGTTTCATCCCATGAGCAGAGGTCGGTGTCGTGGGGTACATTTGCGTGTCAGCAGAAGAGCTCAGACAATTCCTGCTGGAACAGACTTCACAGCACCGCGCTCAAATAACCAGCATGCGTGGGCCCGGCGCCACGTTCTTCACGACTTGCCGTGACTTTCGTGAGGCCACAGTCTCTGTACCCCAAATCATTTTTGTCTCCTGGAAAAACTGTGTGTGACTCACAGGCTCGCTCTTAGCCAGGAAATGAAATTATCAAAAGGTCTGAAATGACAGCTTCCCATTTTCTTTCCCCGCCCTCCCTGGTTTTGTCTCTAGGTAGCAAAGCGTGTCTCTGCCACTTACAAATCTAAGTCCCCATCCACTTACATTTTGACCAACTTGCTGAGTTCACGATGCAGGTGAACCAGTGTGCTTTGTGCCAAACCGTGTTTGGTAAAATCCAGGTGGCAGGGGCAAGTTAACTAGAAATATGTAGAGTGAGGGCAGCGGGGCGGGTTCCCTTGTGCAAAGGCATAGAGGTGGGAGAGGCAGGGGCAAGAGTTGGGACCCAGCTTCTGGAACCCAGAAAACCATCGGAGCCTCCCCCAGCAGTGGTGCAGGTGCGTCCTTGTCTCGGGCTCAGTGTGTGGAGGGTGCACATGAGGGTTTCAGCGTTTTGGTTATCTGTTACTGTAACAACCTTACCGCCAGTACGGTGGCTTCAGCCACACACCTTCACGATCTCGTAGTTTCCGGGGCCAGGAACCCAAGCACTGCAAGCAGGATCCCCCGTGGGCTGCAGTCACCACGTCAGCCAGGGCTGGGGTCTGATCTGAAAGTTCAGCCGGGGAAGGATCGACTTCTGAGCTGCACTGCTGTTCTGACACGACCCACCCGGAGTCAGCACAGACTTCGCGGCTGAGGGTGCAGGGCCCACGAGACCTCCTCGCTGCAGACACGAGCCGCAGGCTCAGGTGTTCCCGAGTCACCTGCAGCTCTGAGCCGATGTCCTAGAATACTGGAGGGTCCTGTACTCCTGTCAGGTGCATGAACTTGCTAGAACCACTCGAAGAATTCAAGAAAGCACTGTACTTATAATAGTTTTTATTATAAAGGATACTAATTAGGACCACCCAGTTGAAGAGACACACAGGGGAGAGTCTGGGAGGGCCCCCAAAGCGAAGCTTCCTATGTCCTCACGATGCATCACCAGCGGGCAAGCTCCCCGAATGTCCCCAGTTTTCATCAGGATTTCCTCTCACAGGTGTGATTGATTGAATCATTGCCCACATGCCCAACTCTGTCTCCAGCCCCCTGTCATCCTCAGAGGTCAAGGCTGTGATTACAGGATTGGTCTTTCTGGCATCACCAGCCCTCATCCTGGGTCACCTCACTGACATAAACCCGGGTGTGGTACGAAGCGCCCACTGCAAAGAACAAAGATGCTTCTGCTATGCGAGAGGTTCCACGCACGTCGCGTCGAGATTACCTCCCAAGAACCAAGGACTAAGACCAGCCCGATTCTTTATTATACAATGCAGGCCCACATGCGTGCTGGCAGGAGTCAGTTCCTCCCTGGCTGGAGACTCTCCTCGGTTCCTGGCCCAGGGGGCTTCTCCAAAACGGGGAGCTCACGTCATCGTGTGAGTGCACAATCCAAGAAGGCAGGAAGGAGCCTGCTGGCCAGGTGGTGGGTGTATCCTTTATCAACACGACTGCTGAAGTGACATCCCGTCTGCTTTGCTGTCTTCTGTCGGTTAGGAGCAAGTCTCCGAAACCAGGGGAGGGGATCACACAGGGGCACAGATACCAGGAGTGAGAATGATTGGAGGTCACAGGCCACAATGGAGGCTCATCAAGCCCACAAACGTGTGTGGGGTTATGGGGGCAGTTCTGCGGAGAGAAGGGAGTGGGAGCAGAAGGGAGGCAGTCAAGAAAGGCAGTGGGCACTTGTGAAGAAGGAAGCAGGAAGTGGGACAGCCCCTCTGGGAAATTGTTCAGAAGTGTCTCATGGCACGAAGCACACACCTGTTCTTTGACCCAGCCGCCCCACTGTGTATAATCCAGGGAAAGGCCTGCGTACGCACCTGTGTATACAAAGACGTAGCTAAGAGCGTTCGTGCAAGCTGACCCACAGAAGCCTCAGCCTGGAAACAACCCAAACGTCCCACCAGAGAAGAGATCAACAAATTGCGGCATGAACACACGATGGAGTAATACTCATCAGTAAAAAGGGAAGGAGGTACAATGCGAGTAACTACATCCGGAATGAACCTCAGAAACAACGTCTTCGCGTGGAAGCAGCCCACGTGGAAGAATGCACGTGGTGTCACGCGTGTGTGTGAGTTCATACGAGGAACGGGCCCAAGTCCTCCAAGGTGATGCACGTCAGAAAAAGGAATGATCTCGGGGGAAGTGTGGTTAGCCAGAGAATGGCACAAAGAAGCCTTCTGGAGTGCTAGAAATACTGTTTTTATTTGGACGGTGGTTATACCCCAGGGGATAGGTAGCGATATCCCATATATATACATATCTTTTTACTTAGCAAAGTTTGTGCAGTTTTCTCTATGCAAATGATGCCTCTCATTTAAAAATAAATACATTTTTAGAAGAAGGAAACAAGTCTTCATTAGAGATTTGAGGAAAGGGATTCCCATTCACCGAGTGCCTCAAGGGTCCTCTTTCCTTCGTCCATCCCCTTGTTGGGGTCTCCTGGCTATGCCTTAAGGGTCGAGTACACACAGGCTTCCAGAGGCTCCTCCGTCTGGCTGGAGGGACCCTTGCTCAGGGCTCTGGTGTTCAGCTCAGCATAAGTCACTCCGTGGGGCTCCTCAGCTCTTGAGACCAGGGCTGCTCTCTCCTGAAGGGAAGCAAGGAGAAGAGGAACCAAGTATTCCTGGGGAGGAGGTTGGTCGTGAAGATTTGGCATTTGCGACAGCAGTGTAGTAGACAGCTGTGTTAGAAAGAGCCTCCTGCTCTTCGAGTCTTGGTGCATTCCCCTACCCTCTGGAAGGTTGGTGGGACCTAAAGGCATGCTTGTGTCCAACAGGATAAGTGAAAAGGGTGGGCTGTCCTGTGCCTTCGTGTCCAAGACTAGGTGACGAAAGACAGGACTTCCCTCTTGTTCCCACCTATTTTCAGGTCGCTTGCTCATGCTGACCGAGCCAGCTGCTGTGTTACGAGCTGTCCTGTGGAAAGGCCCATGTGGCCAGGGTGGTCCCTGGCGGAAAGCCAGTGAGGAACAGACCCCCGCCAGCCACCACCTGAGTGAGTGTGGAAACAAACCCTTTCTTACTGAAGCCTGAACCAGCCCTGGCCAACCCCTTGATCCCAGGCTGTGGGACCCAGTCTGAGCCACACCCAGATTCCTGACCTGCGGACCCTGCTGAGATGTAAGTGTTGTCCTCAGTTGTGTGTTTGGGCTGATTGGTTATGAACCCATAAATAATCCACACAAACAGCCGTCACAGAGAGCATTAATATGAAATGTCCGGAATAGGTCCGTCTTTAGGGACAGAAAGCTAGTGGCGGTCAGGGGCTTGGCAGGGGCAGAGGGGTGGGCATGCGGAGCGCACTTACAGGTGTTTCCTCTGGGGTGATGAGAATGTTCTGGAACTAGATGATGGTGATTCTTGCCCAACATCGTGAATACTCCAACAGTCGCTAAATTGTACTGATTAAATGGTGAATTTTGTGTTATGTGCATTTTGCCACTATTTTTTTAAAAATTGGAGTGTAAATGCCAAAAGCAAGGGCTACTCCAGGCTGTTCTACGTGGCCACTTCACGGTCGGCGGCTGCCGTATTTTCATAAATAGCTTGCATATTTTCATAAATAGCACCTTGTTCCTTTTGCCCAGATGAAGACACAGAGGCTCTGGGCGGGAAGGTCACCGGCCCAGGATTGAAACAGATAGTTTATAATAACAGCAGCGTCAACCCCATGTCATGCGGGGGAAATGTTCCCCGAAAGGACTCGTCATGGGATGCCAGGTCCCCTGGCCAGAGAAGCCACAGAAGATTTCAGACCAGATTCTCCTGGACAGTAGAGCAAGGGTAGGGGTGGAGGAAAGCGGAGGCGAAAACCATTGACAAAGCCGGAGGGAGGGAGTGACGGAGAGCCTGGGACTACGGGTGGAACGGGAGACTTACCGAGGCCAGAGAGCTGCTCGTCATAGCTGCGGACAGATCTGAGGGGGAAACATGGTGCTGTTGCTTCATCCCAGGCTCTGGGGGTTAAGTCTGCACACACACACACCCATTCACACGCCCACTCACCACACATACCCTCATGTGCACACACCTACACCCGTGTGTGCTCTCACACGCACGCACACGCATGTCCACACACGAACACTCAACGCACGCACACACACTCGAGTCATATGCACACAAACGTGCAAACCACACATGTACACGCGCAGCACACATGCACAGCCATACATGCTTACACACGTGTGTTCTCTCGATGCACATGTGTGTGCATGCACACTCCTACACACGTCTGCACATGCATGCTCTTGCACGTGTGCACACACATGTTCACATGCACACAGGCATCCCTGCATGCCTGCACGTGCACACTCACATGCACGCTCAAATGCACATGCTTACGTGAGCACAGGCTGCACACATGGATGCACACAGCACACCTACAAGTACGCACACACGTGTACCCACCACCGCTTTCTTTCTCAGGCTGAGTACAAGTCCGCACTTCTTCAGGTCCCTCAGAGCGGGAGCTAAAGGAGAGAAACCGAGACGCATTGGAGGTAAAGGTAGTTGGAGTGAGACATCAGGATCATTGTGGGTAGGTGGAGGGAGGCGCCAAGCAAGATCATGTGTAAACCAAAGTCCCCCCACTTCCTCCACACTCTAACCCCCCTCCATGGTCCCCACGTTGTTCAGGTGCTCAGCCCAGTCTTGAGAGCTGAGGATGGGAAGTGGTTGGGGTCAGCGTGGTCTGTGAGGTAAGGACCCAAGGAAAGAACGCAGAGTGAGAAGTGGCGGGTGGTCGTAAGAAGAGAGGACATGGAGAGACACTTGGGAGGGTCGCTGGGGCTGGTTGGGGCCACATGAATTGTTGAGGGAAGAGAGAAGGTCCTGAGTAGTCAGGGCAGCAATGGAGGAAGCATTCAGTAGGGCTCATGGGATCCGCTGAGCAGCCCTACCGTTTGGTCACCTTCTCAGGAGCTGCCCCTGGCGACAAAAGAGAGACAGGATCAACCCCGTGGTGTTACTTCCCCATTCTGTTTCTCCCGTTTCCTCCCAAATATTTAGCTGTTGTTTTCCCGAACTCACCACACCGGGTGTATTTGCAGATGAGGAAGGCTCCAAGGAGGACAAGAAAGATGGAGATGACAATGAGGGTGATCCCAGGGGTCCCTGGGGAGAGGCGAGGGGTAAGAGGGCCCGTGGTCTCCTGAGACACATTCTGGTGCCTCAGTGTGTCTACCATTGATCAAGTTCCTACCACGCTCCGGAGAGCTCACTACATTATGTTCATACCTACAGGTCTCCTGGGAGAGAGACAGTGATGCCCACTTTACAGATGCAGAAGCTGAGCATCAGAGGGTTAAAGTACCATTTCCAAAGTGGCCCAGCTAGGGAGGCAGAGCTGTGCCTGTGATCTCCCCACCTCGAAAGACCTTGCACTGAGCCATAGCCTTCAGGCACCACCAGAAGACAGACATCCTCGCGAATTTTCCCAAGGGTGGATGACTCATGGCTTCACAAGGACGTCTCATCCTGCGGGTGGATGAGTGCATGTCCCGGGAAGCTCTGCTCTCTTACCTATTCCTGTTCCCACTGTCTTGGGACGCTTCATTTCAGTTTTATCTAGAAGACAGAATTCTTGAGTCAAGTTTTCAATTTAAACAAATTTAAATAAAATTTCAAACTCTATACGTTATTTACAAAGGCATGCCCATGTAGTAAAAAATATATAAAACCATGCACAGAAATAACACGAACTTCAGGGCAGAAGGTTCTGGAAGGGGGAAAATCATGGGAATAATGTTGAGAAGGAAAAAGGACTCTCTTTTTTAGAATCTTTATTTGTGGGAAAAAAAACAGTTTGGAACAAATACGACAAACTATAAACAAGTCTAACTCCGGGCTGTGAATATGGTACTATCTGTTATTTGATTGTTACTTCTATGAGGCAGTATTTTTCAGATTTCTCAAAAGAAAGGAAATTCTTATCAGGTCTTTGCTGGGTCGTGGGAGGGTTTGCTGAGTTTTGGGTCTATCTAGGGAATAGAACAGAAAGAAAAGGCAAGTGTATTTGGAAATGTCCGGACCCCACTCAGGAAACCCAAGACTCGCGGGTGGCGGGTGTGATAGTGAAATTTCTGTGTCAACTTGACTAGGCTACAGTACCCGGTTACTTGGTCAAATACCAGTCTGGACCGGTTGCCAGGAAGGTGACCCCAGAAACTAATATAATGCTGCATGTTCACTACACTGGAGTTAAAATAAAATAAAAGAAATGCAGTCTTAACTAAAATTCATTTTTAGAAACAGACGTAATTAACACTTAAGTCAGGAGGGTGTAAGTAGAGCAGATTACTCCCCATAATATGGGTGGGCCTCATCCAATCAGTTGAAAGTCTGAAGAGAAAGACCGATCTCCTTTGAGGATGAAGGAATTCTGCTTCCAGCTGCCCCCAGACTCAACATCAGCTCTCTCCCACGTGTCTACCCTGCCGGCCACATGAGTTGCCTGGGGTCGCACAGCTAGTGAGTAGCAGAGCCGGGGTGGGACTCCCGCTAATGGGATGATACTCACCACGTCACTCTTCATTGACTTTACCATCCACAGCTGTGCTGGCTGCGAGTGGACCAAAGCAGACGCAGCACATCCCTGAGACCATCTGAAGACCCCACCTCCTCCCCCAGCCTTGTGCTCCAAAGAAGGCAGCAGGCCTGGGATGTGTGCTCACTCCGGGCCACTGTGTCCTCTGTTCCGGGTGGTATCACCCGCAGCTCTTCACCTCTGTCCTGCGGAGCCACACCGTCAGGACAGTTGGACTCAACCCCCTCCTGTCTACTCACTCTCTCCTCCTGCCCCTGCCAGCTGCCTTCTGCTCTCTCCAAACCAGAGACATCACTGATCTCATTCCAGCTTCAGAGATGGTGAGTAAACCCCACAAGCCATCAGGACCCTAGGGTCTGGCTCTGAAGAAATCGCTGGGAAACTGGAGACAAACCATAGTTTGGAATAAAAGGGAAAAAAACCTGGAACACCACAAGTGACTTTGAAGGAAGGCAACGATGCCAGTATTCTGGTAGGTGGTTTCTGGAACAACTGCTGGTCTGGGGCACATAGTTTAAGTAATCAGAGGCTTCAGGAATTGGAGGAGAGTGTGGTCTCCACCCTCAAAATCCCTGCAGGCACTCTGGTGTCTAGCTGGAGATCAGACAGAGGGTCTGGAGCAGGGTTGCTCGACTTGGGCGCCATCAATTTTCAGGGGCTCTTGGTGGGGAGGGGTCCTGGGCATCCCGGGGTGTTTTGCGGCTTCCATGGTCTCAACCTCCTAGATTCGGGGAGCATCCTCTATCCCCCATCCCCAGCAGTGACCACCAGAAATGCCAAAAGGGCTCATGAAAGGCTCTGGCGAATCCCAGAGGGAAACTCTTGGGCCCCCTTTGCAGTAATCTGTCCCTGCACCTGCATCCAGTCATCTCCGTGCCAAATACCCGCCCTCCCCACCCTCCTGTCTTCCTCAGCCTGTTGCCCTTGGCAACGATTGTCAGGGTTTGAATGGGGGCTGAAGGAACACGGGAAGGGTGGCGAGTGGGCGTGATGACAGCATCCTGGGTCCCTCCCGGTGAGCCGCTCTGTCGCTCATGTACTCAGGCCGGGCAGCCTGTGGATGACCATCACGCAAGAAACTCAGAGGAGCAAGAAGAGAACAAAAAAAGTGATTCACCAGTCGTTGAATACCCCAAAATTATTTAAAATTTCTGCCTTCTGCAGAGAGCAGGTCCAGCCTACCATATTTTTCTTCCAGTTTTGTCTCTTTGAGCGTTGCGTCTTGAAAGACCATCTCCTCTGTGCTTAGTCTTGTCACATGCAACAGAGCTGAGTTAGAGACACAGACGGGCACCGTTGGCCTTTTTAGACCCTGGAAGACCTCAGGAGGTCATGTAATTCTCCACTGATATTTGTGAGTCATTGTAACGGTGAAGATATTTGCCGTCAGCTTTTGCGGGGTGCACACATTCTGTTTCCTGGAAAGCCTCCCACTAGGAGTGCAGCTCTGAGCAGAACTGTTCTGGTATGCAGAGAGAGAAATTCTGGGCGTTCATAATGACAATAATGGGGAAGACTTAGATGACACTTGCCGTCCACCAGACACAGTTTAGAAAGGAGTTAGGTAAATTAACGCCTCAAAATCTCATCCCTGAGGCCCTTGTGTACGTGCTACTATCAATCCCATTCAACAGGGACAGAAGCTGAGGCAGAGGCTAAGTAATCTGTAGGCAGATAGCTTGTTAACGAGCTAAAATTCCAAACGCTTGTAATTATTTGCAAAACAAGAGAGGGTCCACAGCCTTCCAGACAGGGGGGCCATCTACCCAAGTGGCAGGTGCTGTCCCTGGTCAAGTGGCTGTGGTTGTTAGACTGGTCTTCCCTTTCTCCCGATTACCTGACTTCTCCCTGGGGGGGAATGTCCTTCACATTGACCTAGAAGACAACAGAGTAGGTGGGTCTTAGATGCAGGGAAGGGGTCCCTAGGCACATGGAATTCCCTGCCTGGGCTCCGAGGCCTGACCCTGGGGTAGAGAGAAAACTTCTCCTTCACCTGCTGCTGCCCGTGGTCTCCAGATCAGCATCGGGACCTTGGAGTTTTCTTGCTCTGGCCAGGGTTCTGTAATTCTGTAGCAAACAGCTTTGCTAAGCAGACACTCACCCCCATTAGCCATCTTAGTCCCTTTGGGCTGCTCTAATGGCATGCCACAGGCTGGGAGCGCGGCAGGTGAATGAGAGACATCTTTCTCTCACAGATCTGGAGACTAGAAGTCTGAGATCAGGGTGCCAGCATGGTCCACAGGTGGGAGCGGGGCTCTTCTGGGTGGCAGAAGGGGACAAAGGAGCTTCTGGGGTCTCCTTTAATAAGGGCACTAGACCCATCATGAGGGCTCCACACTTATGACCTAAACAGCTCCCAAAGGCCCTGCCTCCAGTGCTGTCCCATTAGGGGTTAGGATTTCAACATGAAACTGTGGAACACACAACTTTTGTGTTCACTGCCCTGTGCTGATATGACTGGTCATCCTTTCAGGACTAGGGAGCTCAGCTCCCAACCAGGAGGAGGCCTGGTTCCTAATGGTCTCTCTTCCTCTCCTTGTCCTGGACAAACTCAGTCATCAAAAATAGCCCTCACGCACAAGGGTCAGGAAACATCCATCTCCCGAACAAACCAGCAGAATCCTTGTGCACTGTCTGTCGCAAGGTAGAACCGTGTGGCCACTCAGAAAAACAGTATGATGGTGGGTCCCCAATGAAGGGAGAGCCATCCTATGATCCAGCAATCCCGTTTCTGCATATACATCTGGAAGAACTGATAGTCACTTGGTGGCCAGGAGGTGACAAGCCAGTAGCCAAATAGGTGGAAAGGACCCAAATATCCATCAGCTGATGACGAAGTAAGTGAAATGTGGTCTGTCCCTAAAATGGGATATTCTCAGCCTCAATAAGGAAGGAAATCTAGCTACATGCTACGGTATGCGTGAGCCTTGAGAATGTATTTTGGAGTGAGAAAGGCCAATCCCAGAAAGACAAGCAGCGTATGGTCCCAGTGATGTGAGGTTCCTGGATTAGTCAGATGCATTGAGACAATGTAGGATGGTGGGAGCCAGGGGCTGGGGGCCGGTGGGTACAGAGAGGCTGTCTGATGGGGACAGAGTTTCAGTTCTGCAAGATGAAAGGCTTTCTGGAGGCAGCTGGTGTAGGTGCACTACTACTGAGCTGTGCACTTGAAAATAAGGTGGTAACTGTTACATTATGCACTTTTGCCATAACTTGTAAAAAATCCGGCGTCTTGAAAGAAAGGGCTTGGCAGGAAGAGAAAAATTCGACTCAGCTAAGCTAAAAGGCGGGAGTGCTGGAATCCCAATGAAAATGGAACACAGATCTTCCTGGAGTCTGCGAGTCCTTCTCAAGAAGATGCTCCTGGGCTCTGTTATTCTCTCCCTCCTCCTCTGCCTTTTTGCTAGAATCTCCACCCACATAACCCCAGGAGGTGTCATTCACACTTTAGTCTAAATGAATTGTGCCCTGCCCAGGAGATGTGTGATGGTTTTGTGGCTACATCTTATTTGCCTAGGGGGGGTCAATTACTGCAGATCTCCCCTCACCCCGAAGGCTGCTCCCCCCACCCAGAGCACATGTGGCCACCTACAGTGGGAAGCCCCCACCCAGTCTCCTCTTATGTGATTCTCCACCTTCTGTGCTCCGTCTTGGCAGAAGATCCTCTATACTGTACGGCAGAATCCCGGCCCTCCCTTGGTTCTTCCTCAACATTTCTCCAAGCCGCAGAGTCTCGTGGAGACAGACTGTGCCCACACCGCACTCCCTCGGGTCCCAGCATCTCAGCGGCAGGTAATCCAGGTACGGTCCACCTGGCAGTACAAACCTCACCTGTCACCCGGATCTCCAGATGATCACTGGGCTTGGAAGCCCAGAAAGGTGCGGTGGTCTGGAAGTACACACAACTGTAGTTCCCGGTGTCACCAGCTGTCGCATTCTGGAGGGAGAAGTCTGTCTCCTTCTCTACTGGACCCTCGAGCTGAACGGGCCCTGCTGCTCCTGCCTTCAGTAGAGCAAACATTATAGTCTCGTAAACATTGGCTGCCGTCTGGCACCTCAGGGTCACGGTGTCTCCTGCGGTCACCTCACCCCTTTGGTGGGCTTGCAGGGAAGGTTTAGGAAAATTTCCTGGAAGAGAAGGAGGGCTCCAAGGTCATGGGGAGAAGCCCGGCGTCCTCCACCCACCCTTGTTCTCCTAACAGGGGTTCCTGCCACGTCGGGGAAGTGACAGATCCCTGATCTCACCCTCTTTCCACTCTGACAGCGGGAAGGCGATTTCCCTTTCAAGCCCTGGCTCTTTCTGTTCTGTGTCTCTCCGTCTCCCCTTGCCCCCTCCCTCCCTCGGTTCCTCCCCCACACCTGTCCCTGCAAGACCCTGTGTCCCTCCGAGGCACCCTCCTCACCTGTCACCAGTAGCAGGAGGACGTCACTGGGCTGTGAACGTGTGCGTGGGGCCCCCCGTCTGTAGTACTCACAGGTGTACTCTCCAGCATTGCTGAATTGTAGGTCAGTGAGGTGAAATTCAGCCGGCCCATCTGTGGAAATCCATGATTGCCCAGAGTCCAAAGGAACTTTTCCCTTTCTGAGAACAAAGTTGACATTCTTGGTAGAAGTCTGGCATTGCAGCGTCACATTACTCCAGCGAGGCATCACCGAGCTGGGCCAGGCCCTGAGGGAGGGCTTGGGAAGGGACTCTGGAAGGAAGCAGAGATCAGGATGGGGTTTGGTGCCCTTGACTGCTCCTGGGAAACCCCTTGAAGGAAAGAGCAGTGATACGGGGAGTTTGGAGTAAAGGAGAAGGAGGGTCTGTCTGAGGGATCTCACCGTTGGTCCCCCTGCTTCCTTGGCCAGCACACAGCCCTGCAAGAGAACCGTCCATGAGACACGAGCACTCGCCCGGAGCCCATCCCGCGGGGCCTCCCGGGGGCTGCCGCTGAGAAGGGACCCCTGTCATCACACTCAGCAGCAGTCCCAGCCTCCTGCCAGAGAACCCATCTAGCATGAGTGCTGGTTTGCCCTTAGGTTAATTTCCTGGGGCTGCTGGTGTCTCAAGTTGTCACAAGTTTAGTGGCTTGTGAAAACACGGATTTCTCATCTTGCTGTTCCGTGGGTTAGGAAAGCCAACAACACAGGTCCCACTGGCTCCAACCAGGGTATCTTCAGGGCTGCGTTCCTTCTGGGGGCTTTAGATGACAACCCATTTCCTGGCCTTCTCCAGCTTCTAGAGATGCCCACACCTCTTGGTGGCACCCTCTGCCTCTGCCTCTACAAGTAGCAGTGGTTGGTGCATTGACACCCTCTTCTGCCTCTTTCGCTGCTCTAGGGACCCTGTGGTTACACTGTGACCACCCAGATAATCCGGAAGAAGCCTCCTCCTTTAAGACCAGCTGATAAGCAACTTCAGTTCCACCCGCCACCTTGCATTTCCTTACGTGGTAAGTTCCAGAAATGATGAGTTCCCAAATTTCTCTCTGAACGCAGCAGCATAACCATCTGAGTCAACTGAGGGTGGGGGAAAGGGGTGGTGAGATCCCTGCCCTATGAGAAGGGACAGCTAGCTGCTGAGAACTCAGTCCTTTGCGTGGAGAAGCTTCTGTCTGCCCCTGGGGAATGGCCTAAATGCATTCCTGATGTTAGGTTTGGCCATGAGTCAATCTCAAAAATCTAAGATTGGTATTACCTGGAAGGGTGAGGTGCATGTCCCCACCTTTCCCCTCTGGTGGCCTTACTTTCAGATCTAGACCAAACATCCTAAGTGAGATCTACAGTGTTTGTCTTTCTCTGCCAGCCTTGTTTCACTTCGGGTCACACCCTCAAGGTCCATCCATGTTGTCACAAATGGCAGGATTTCCTTCCTCCTCATAGCTGGATTTATATCCCATTTTACATACAGACCACATCTTCTGTAACCGTCTGTCCGTGGGTGGACACTGAGGTCATTTCCATGTCTTGGCTGCTGTGAATAACGCTGAAGTGAACATGGGGACACAGACCTCCCTTCAATTTCCTCTTTTCATTTCCTTTAGATATATAACCCCAAAGTGGGGCTGATGATCATATGGCAGTTCTACTTTTAGCTTTTTAAAAAAATATTATTAGAGAGAGACAGCATGAGCACACAGGGGAGGGGCAGAGGGAGAGAGAGAATCCCAAGCAGGCTCTGCGCTCAGTGAGGACCTGACCTGGGACTCAGTCTCATGACCCTGGGATCATGACCTGAGCCAAAATCACAAGTCAGATCCCCAACCAACTGAGCCACCCAGGCACCCCCACTTTGAACTTTTTAAGGAACCTCCATACTGTCTTCTGCAGGGGCTGCACCAGTTTTCATCCCCACCACCAGTGCACGAGTCCCTATTCCCCACATCCTCACCAACATGTCTTGTCTCATGGCTTCTTGGTGAGAGCCATCCTGACAGGTGTCGGATGGTAAGTAACGAAGACCACGCAAACCACAGAGCCTGTCTATGAGGCCCTCTACAGGAGAAGGTTGCCAGCACCCACTAAGATCACTGGATCCACGGTTCATTTACTTTCTTGAGGTTTTTCTAATCATGACTCCCTTCATCCACCCTCCAGACATTTCCACCCCCATGTCCCCAAAATAGGACCTTTTTGATTCCTTCATACGGACCAGTGGAAAACTATGGTCTTTGGCACTGTGCGGACCAGAATTTGAATTCACCTTCTCTGCTTAGAACCAGAGTGACCGTGGCACATACGTCAGCTGTGACTATCAGATTCCTTGAATGCAGTATGGTCAAGAGAACTATTAGGGAGACTTTTTCTAAGAGATGGAAGGTGACTTCAGGTCATACAATGATGGGAGAGGAAGGGTCACTGAGCCTGTGTGAGAAAGTCTCTCTTCTCTGTTCCTTGGCTCTCTCTCGGATCCCATGGAAGAATATCACAGCCGGCTGCTTGATGGAAGCTGGCTTCCCGGAATCACTGCCTCCTCTCAGAAACAGGACCCGGGAAACCATGGACCAGAGGTGATCAGGGTCTGTTTTTGATGAGGGACACTGATTTTCCACTAATAGAAGTATTTTACAGGTTTTCTTTTAAAATAGAGTTGAGTACAAAAACAATAATATAAAAACCTGGGAACTTTGAAGAGGAAGATCACATGGGAAAGAATACAGCGGTCACGTACATAGAGGAAAATGTCATGGGGGAGGTTCAGGGATGACTGAGTTTGGGGAAACAGGAGAATGTGTATAAAGCACCCAACAGCCCCCTTGCACCTAATTTGCATTCAGGGAATGGAAGGTTCTAGTCTGTGTTTATTCACCCCACGCCATTACCCACCCCACAAGCTCCACCAACTCCAGCTGCTACTGCAGCCCAGCCCCACCCCTCCAGTAGCCGCCCTCCGGGACGACATACCAGTGCAGAGCAGCGCCAGCAGCTGGGGCATCATGGCGGCACCCACAAGCCTCTTCCAAGGATCTTCCGTCCGTCTTTTTGTCGGTGAGAAGCCAAGATGTTGTCTTGACTCCAGGACGTGCAGGAACAGCTTTGCCCCTGGTGTTTCAATCCTCCACTCTGCACACCCCGTTTCTGTCTTCTAGGCTCTATCCGGAAATGACTGTTGCAACACGCTCTCAAGCCACTTCCCACGGGTTTGACACACTGAGTCCTCCCAACAGCGCAGAAGTCAGTCACCCACTTCTAGGGCATAGCCATGAATATGCAAAACATGGGAGATGGGGCCGGTGGGACCCCAATCACCATCCTCCCCTTCTGCACGGTGACAGCAAATACCTGGGCTCCCAGGGATCCAAAGTAAGAACCACATTTCTCTCGGGGCCCTGGGTGGCTGAGTAAGTTGGGCATCTCACTCTTGGGTGCAGCTCAGGTTGTGATCTCAGGGTTGTGAGATGGAGCCCTGTGTTGGGCTCTGCACTCAGTAGGGAGTCTGATTCTCTCTCTCCCTCTTCCTGTGCCCACGCCTTCAAATCAATCTTAAAACAACAACAACAACAACAATAATTCTCTCCCTCAGGAAACCGGGGGCCCTTTTGGTCACAGGATGTGAGCCAAGTGACGTGCACAACTTCTGGGTAATGTCCCAGGGACACTGAGGGCAGGAATGGGGTCAGAGCTGAGGGCAAAGAGGTGGGAAGTCATAGGGCATCAGGGAGCGGTGGGGATCCAGGAGAATGTGGCAACAGGCCCTATAAAAAGAAGGTAAGACAGAAGAACCCTCACTGGCAGGCAGCATGGCAGAAAAGGAAACTGAAGAAGAGAAATGTCTGCGGTGGTTTGTAAGTGGTTTGTCGTGGGGACACGATGGGAACTATCTCCTCCGTGAAATCTCTTCTGTGAAATCCCCTGTCATTAGATCTCGGGTGGAAGGAGGCTCTTCAGGAGAACTCGAGGAGCTGTGTTCTGCATCTAGTGGAGGTGTAGACAGTGAGAGACAACCCAGACAGCGGACCCAGGCGACGGGCAGGGGCTGATGTGCACGTGGAAAATTCTAGAAGGTAAATCTAGTTTATTTAAAGTGTTTTTCTCTGAGTAGTAGAATCGTGCTCGATATTTTTTTGTTCCTTTTGTTTATATGTGCTTTCTAAATTGGCTGAAACTGATAAGTTAATTTTACCCCCTTAGATGTTATTGAAATTTAAGCCTTTAGAAATTTTAAGTGAGGTGCTGTGGGATGAAAAAACTCAAAGTTTAAAAAAGAATTCTTGTGAAGCTTAGAATCTGGGACTGCTGAATTTAGGGACAGATACAAGAACTTCCACAGAACCATGCAGATGGGGCAGACATATCTCTTCCCAAAACCTCACTGAAAGACCGTAAAGGGATTCATTAGGAGGGCAAAAGCTAAGAAGGAAGAAAGGGAATGAGGAAGGAGCAAATGTAGGACAAGAAATGTTGATACAATTACAGGAACTGGAAAAGAAGCAGGTGCATGCCTTCCGTGGGGCACCAAAAAGCAAAGTCACAACCCCTGACTCTGGGGCTTCACTACAGCTCAAAAAACGGAATTAAATTAATCACCATCTAGCAATTCCGCTTCTGAGCGTATATTCAGAAGGATTGAAAGTAGAGTCTTAAAGAGATACTTCTCCATCTGTTCGCAGTAGACGAGGTAGAGACAACCCAAGTGTCCATTGACGAATAAACGGACAAACAAAATGTGGTCCATACACACAATGGAATATTATTCAGCCTCTGGAAGGAAAGGCATTCTGACACCTGCCACAATGGGGGTGACCCTCAAGGACATTATGTTCAACGAAATGAGTCAGACACAAAAAGACAAACGAGTCCCTTCAATGAGGTCCGTAGAGCAGTCAGATTCATAGAGACAGAAGGTGGACGGTGGAACCGGGGGTTGAGGGAGGGGAGGGGGAGGCGTGGTTTGATGGGCACAGAGTTCTAGCTGTGCAGCACGAGGAGATCTGTGGACGGCGGTGGTGGCTGCCCAACGGGGTGAATGTACTTAGCGTCATGGACCCATGCATTTAAACATGGCTGAGATGGTGCACGTTCTGTGTAGTTTGTTTGTTTGTTTGTTTTTTAAGATTTATTTATTTATTTATTTATTTGACAGAGAGAGAGAGAGAGATCACAAGTAGGCAGAGCGGCAGGCAGAGAGAGAGGGAGAAGCAGGCTCCCCGATGAGCAGGGAGCCTGATATGGGGCTTGATCCCAAGACCCTGGGATCATGACCTAAGCTGAAGGCAGACGCTTAACCCACTGAGCCACCCAGGTGCCCCCATGTTATGTGTAGTTTACAGCAGTGTTTAAAAAGGAAAATTTCCAGGAGCCTGGCTGGCTTAGTGGGTTAAACGTCTGCCTTCAGCTCAGATCATGATCTCAGGGTCCTGGGATCGAGTCCCATATTGGGCTCTCTGCTCAGTGGAGAGCCTGCTTCTCCCTCTCCCTCTGCCTCTCCCCTGCTCATGTGTTCAGGCGTACTCGCTCTCTCAAATTAAAAAAAAAAAAATCTTAAAAAAAAAAAAAGAAAAAAAATGGACTTGCACCAGGTTATGGTTGCCTTTCGGGGTAGAGGGGAAATGGATCAGGGCCGTGCTTATGCCTGATAGAAGATTTTGTTGCTTTGGCTATTTTGGGGTCTTTGTGGTTCCATTTAAATTTTAGTATTATTTGTTCTGGTTCTGTGAAAAATGCTTTGATATTTTGATAGGGATCACGTTGAGTCTATAGATTGCTTTGGGTACTATGGGCATTTTATCAATATCAATTCTTGTCATCCACAAGCGTGGAATGCCTTTCCGTTCCTTCAATTTCTTTCATCAGTGTTTTACAGTTTTCTGTGTACAGGACTTTCACCTCCTTGGTTAAATTTATTCCTAGGTATTTTATTCTTTCTGGCGCAATTCTGATTGGATTGCTTTCTTAGTTTTCTCTTTCTGCTACTTCATTATTAATGTATATAGAAATGCTACCAATCTCTGGATGTTAATTTTATATCCTGCAACTTTTCTGAATTCATTTATTCCTTCTAGTAAGTTTGGTGGGTTTTTTAAAGAAATTTTTTAAAAGATTTCATTTATTTATTTGACAGAGAGAGATCACAAGTAAGCAGAGAGGCAGGCAGAGAGAGGGGAAGCAGGCTCCCTGCTGAGCAGAGAGCCTGATGCGGGGCTCGATCCCAGGACCCTGAGACCATGACCTGAGCTGAAGATAGAGGCTTAACCCACTGAGCCACCCAGGCGCCCAAGTTTGGTGGGTTTTTTTGTTTTGTTTTGTTTTGTTTTTTGGGTTTTGTTTTTTTTTTTGGTGGAGTCTTTAGGGTTTTCTTTTCTTTTTTTTTTAATATTTTATTTATTTATTTGACAGACAGAGATCACAAGTAGGCAGAAAGGCAGGCAGAGAGAGAGGAGGAAGCAGGCTCCCCGCTGAGCAGAGAGCCCGATGCGGGGCCCGATCCCAACACCCTGGGATCATGACCTGAGCCGAAGGCAGAGGCTTTAACCCACTGAGCCACCCAGGTGCCCCGCCCGTCTTTAGGGTTTTCTATGGGCAATATCATGTCATCTGCAAATAGTGAAAATATTACTTCTTTCTTACCAGTTAGATGTCTCTTACTTCTTTTTCTTGTCTGATTGCTGTAGCTAGGACTTCTAGGACAATTTGAATAAAAGTGGTGGGAATGGACATCCTTGTCTTGTTTCTTATCTAAGAGACCTGAAACCATAAAAATCTTAGGAAACAACACAGACAGTAATTTCCCTGACATCAGTCATAGCAGCATCTTTCTAGATATGCCTCCTAAGGCAAAAGGAAAAAGGCTAAAATAAAGTATGGAGACTACATCAAAACAAAGAGTTTTTGCACAGCAAAGGAAACCATCAACAAGACAGAAAAGCAACCTACTAAATGGGAGAAAATATTTGCAAATGATATACCTGATAAGAAGTTAATACTCAAAGTATATGAAGAACTTATACAACACAACACCAGAAAAAAACACAAACAATCCAATTAAAAAATGGACAGATGATCTGAATCGATGTTCTTCCAAAGAAGATATAACAGTGGCCAACCCACACATGAAAAGACGAGCAGCATCAACATCAGTAGAGAAATGCAAACCAAAACCACGATGAGGTGCCTGTCTGAATGGTTACAATTAAAAAAATGTTTTTATCTCCTCTCCCTCATATCAGGGAGGTGACTCTTAATCTCACAAAACAAACTGAGGTTAATGGGGGGAGGAGGGTTGGGAGAGGGGGGGTTGGGTTATGGACATTGGGGAGGGTATGTGCTATGGTGAGTGCTGTGAAGTGTGTAAACCTGGCGGTTTACAGACCTGTACCCCTGGGGATAAAAATATATTATATGTTTATAAAAAATAAAAAATAAATATTAAAAAAATGTTTTTAAATGAAACAAGATATAAAAGTATGGACAAGGGTAGAGAAAAGAGAGCCCTCTTGCACTGTTGGCGGGAATGCAAACTAGTGCAGCCATAATATGGAGGGTCCTCAAAAAATTAAACATAGAAATACCTTATGATCCAATAATTCCACGACTGGGTGTTTATGCAAGAAAACGAAAACTCTAATTCGAAGAGACATATACACCCTTATGTTTATTGCAGCATTATTTTCAACAGTCAAGATATGGAAGCAACCTAACTGTCCATCAATAGACGAATGGATAAAGAAGTCACACACACGCACACACACACACACATACGAATATTATGCAGCCATAAAGAGGGTGAGATCTTGTCATTTGCAACAACATGGGTGGACCTAGAGGGTATTATGCTAGGTATCTGACCTAGGGTGAAGTAGGTCAGACTGAGAAAGACAAATACTGTATGATTTCATTCATATGTGAAATCCAACTAAAAAACAAGTGGCTAAACAAAAAGCAGAATCAAACCTAATAACACAGAAAACAAGTGGATGGTCGCCAGAAAGAAAGGGAGGGGGTAGGGATGGGTAAAATGGGTGAAGGGGAGAGGGAGATACAGGCTTCCAACCACAGAATGAATGAGTCACAGGAATAAAAGGGAGAGAACAGGGAATGTATCCCTGATAGTGTGGTAGTGCTGCATGGAGATGGACGGCAGCTACACGTGTGGTGAGCACAGCGTAACAGAGAGAGAAGCCGCGTCACTCTGTTGTGCACCTGAAAACGATAGTGTCAACCATACTAAAAAATAACTTTAAATAATAGTCAGGAGCTATATATAGTGTGTACATATATATGTGTATGTGTATATATACACACACATATACACACGCATATGCACACACACATATATATACACGTACACATATATATGTGATGTCCATTCCCACCACTTTCATTCAACATTGTGCTAGAAGTCCTAGCCACAGCAATCAGACAAAGAAGTAATATATAGTAGCTATAAAGCAATAGTTAAATTTTACTGAGTGACTTCTCTTATGAACTCATCTTTTTGATCCCCCAATTTTTCAGTACACAGCTATCTTTTTCAGATGAGAATCTTTTTAAAAAATATGTAACCATCAAAGCAGTATCATCCCAGGAAAACTAACAGTCCTTCCTTGATATCATCTAATGTCCCGCCAGGATCCAAATGTCCTCAATCATATCAAATACACTCTTTTTGTCAGTTTTCTTTTAAAAATCAGGTTTCAAATCTGTGAACTACAAGTCTACAAACTGTATTTGAGAGATATGCTAATTTAAATAAGACAACATTTTCAATCTCTTTGTGAAAATAAGAAACCAAGCACATGGTAGGTTTTTATGAATTTCACACCATTCCTTTGGGAGACAAGCGCCATGCCCCTGAGATGATTGTCTTGACAGGGCTTACTTGTCTTTCCATTTAGTGATACAGAAAAATCAACAAGGCAATGGATTATCAAGGATAGAAACCAACTATAATGACAGGCGTTTCTTTGACGGTGATTTTTAAAAGACGTGGTGACAATTTTTAAAGTCTTGAGACTCTTATAAGACTCTTGTTTAAATATCACTTCTGTGCATAGATTTATTTCAACAGAGAAGAGTTTAGTAAAAGTCATGAATGAATATTTACATCATTCTACTTGCATCAGGGAACAAAAGTGATACTTTGGGCAAAGCTTTCACCTTCATACCTAACCAGACTGACTGATGAATTTCAAGCAGGCTCCACACCCAGCATGGAGTC